ACAAGGAGTTAACTATACTCGGAAATACCTTTCTCTATTTCCAACAAAGAATGGGTAAAAGAGATTGAATAATAAAATGTTGACAAAGGAAAGAGGGAAATTGATTGGTCATTAAAGCTTAGAAAAAAAACAAAAGAAACATAAAAAAAAGAAAAAAAAAAAAATAGTAGCAGGATGTGAGTTATAACTATCATAGCCATGTCAAGGAATATGGCAAAAGACTACATTAGGTCGACTAAAACTAGAAAATAAGGTACTTATTTAACAACTTGCATTATAGTTCAATTAGTTTAGCCTACCCACACAAATGTGGAATGCCTGTACATAAAATCATTGACAAGAAGGGCTTCCTCCATCCCCTACCTAAAAAGGGGCCATTCACATAAAATTACATATACATAACAACAAGCTTTAATTTGAAATAATGAACACATTAAAGATTCGATATACGAGACAAGTTCAAATAATTTTTCTGCCAACAAATTAAAACATTGTCCTCTGTGCTTCAACAAGGGGTACAATATGCAGTAATAGTACATCTACCCAGTAAGGCAAGGCCTACCATACGAAACACTCAGACTTAATTTCATCTTTAAATCCATGCATGAGATCACCTAAAGTAGCTATAATTTATATGACATTCATAAACTACACCCTAATCTAATTGAAGATAGAAATGGCTGCCAAATTAGCAAAAAAGTACTGTGGGTGTACCTAGCTCAAGATTCACCCAAGTGTGGATTTTGCAGTGTAAAAAGCAAGGAATAATAAATAAAATGCACCCATGGAAAAGGAGGCAAACCCAGATATTATATAAGGCAACTTATTGGCTTAAAAATGTAACCAGTGATTTTGCTCAAGCCAGTAGTCATGCGAGGGGGAAGGGAAGGAGAAAATTAAGGCACACCACATTTTGTGGAATGGCTTACAACCAGTCTTACTTTGTTAAGATAATGTGGCACTACATTCAAAGTTAACAGGTAAGGCTACAAGGGGAAAGTTTGAGATAGACATTAGGAAAATCTATTCAAAGATAAGGGCTAAACTGTCCCCTCAAGAGCTTCTTTTTCCGTTCAAAATCCTATATATACAGCATGATCAGCAACTGTTGCATGTGGTAGAAAATTCTTCCTGTTCATCAAAAATTAAATGCTAAACGATTTGAAAGGAGGTTCATTGGAAATACAAAGAGATGCATGCACTTTAAAGAAGTTGTAAGGATAGTGTGCATCAAGTGAAAATTTATAAAGTTGTTTGTACAACCCTGGCAAATTAGTCAACAACAAAAAATTTAATGAAACGTTTGATCAAATTTAAATCCTCACTAAAGTAATACAATCAATATTAATATCAACATAATCCAATGCCCCTAAAGAGTATCCATCTCGGGTGAGGTGAGGTGTTTGGATGTATCGCAGCTTTACATAGAGGCTGTTTACACTTGACCCTAGATCTAGCAACAGTTTTCTACCACTTTACAGAAAATAAGTGTGCATGTTTTATTAAGCCGTAGAATCCTGTTTTACAGAATTGATAGATTCCTCAAAGATCAACGTTTTACCTAAAAGGCTAATACTGATTTAGTGTTCACATACTTTCTCCTCGTATCTCTTCACATAATAATTAACAAAGAAGTCTACATAAAAATACGGAGTAATGTTTTAAGTAAAAGCTGCAGAGGAACAGACAATTACAAATTTTTCAAGACCTACCACTTTATTATAGGGGGAAAAATAAATAACTTCCTCTCATGAATTTTATTTCCAATTAAGGAGAAATGTGACAGGTGAACTGTTAGTAGGGCTGATAAACAAGACCACAAGCAACAGCAAGTTCATACCAAGAGTTAAACATTGTCTTGACTGCCCACTATTGCCATTTTAATTGTATAGGTTTAATAGATTCTGCTACATGTTCAGCTTAAAATGCTGATTCCTCGGCATAAGCACCCCACAGGTTAATGACAAGATACATGTCTCTGGACGACCCCACACGCCACAGCACTTCACAAGCCCATCAGGGATTTGATATTCTAGCCAGCCCCTACCTTAATGAAGTCCACACTAAATAGTGTCTCTAGTCTGCTAGAGAAAATAATGCATATATAGATATATATCATGTGGGATAAGAGTAGTAATTAAATTTTTTTCAACCTAATATTGAGGGTGCTTTCGACATGAGAGTTGAAGCTTGCAGGATACATGGCAATGATCACAAAACCTATGACAACCATAGGGAAAAGAGAAGCCTATATTTTCAATGTAGGTGGGTAAATATTATAGGAAATAGCCATTTGCAGTTAGATTGTCATTAACAAGGAATTAACATATCACCACCGTCCAGCCTCTGAGCCTTTTTTCAAACAAGCCATTTTTTAAGTTCCTCCTAAGCACCTTTATCACAAGTTTATCATAACATTGACTATAGGATATGTGTTTTAATTCTCCTACAATTTTAAGAGAATGCCACCACCTCCTTAAGCCTCTAGATGGTAATCCCCAGTGGTCATGGCCTTTGGATAGTAATTTAAACTCTTAAGCTCTCAGAAAGAAGCTTTTTTACAATGTTCTTTTATGTGCCTAAATAGCATGTATTGAGGCACAAACTTGAACTTAAAGGATTGGGTTTCTAAAACTTCTAAAGAGGTTTAGGAGCTCAGATCTAATTCCCTCGTCAAACTCCAGAGATTGAAAATTTTCCTACTGTCTATCTCAAAATTTTCCTACTGTCTATCTCAAATTTTCCTACTGTCTAACTATGGTCTTTCCCCAAACTTATTAAGGAGGCTCTCCAGCGACCAACATCTTAAATTCTTATATATCACCATCAAATAAAATCAAATTTAATACTATTGGCTCGTTTCACATAGACACCAAGAATTGTAACCTCTTTAAGGTATAAGTGTTTTTTGCCTCCAATCAAACTTCATTTTGTTTTTCTTTTCATAATGTCCTCAAACCTCATATACATTCCAAGTGTCTCCATAATCCCTATAAGAAAAATTCTAAGATCTTCAAGGCTCTACACAATACCCTTGAGCAATAAATAAAAACCACCAAAACATGTTACCAGTTGCACTTACATATAAACTTGTTTAGACTTTGCTCATGAGCATGAAGATGCCCTTAGCATTAGATCTTAATGTTCCAATCAACTCTTAAACCACAAATATAGATCTACAACCTCTCATTATGTGGGGCCTTGAGGTTCCTTGACTCTTCAATTTCAGTACCTCCAGTTTTGTGTTCCTCAGTAATAGTCCTTTTAGTCCTCCAATATAAACTAAGTACAAGCATTTTATCTGGAAAATATGCAGTCGTGCATATAATTCTTGTAAAATTTAGCAAGGATATCCAACTTACGTATTTGATTTGGAAATCTTTGACGGTACAAGTAAAGTTGTCCTCAATTAAAAGACCCATCTAAGCATCAAACAGAATTAACTCTTAAGTTGTCTCATTAAATCATCCATACGCATATTCATTGCATTGGCTAGTATGCTTCAAGTTCACACCTTTATTCTCATTAAGCTTTCAAGAAAATACTTGCTAGGATATCTCCTTGAATTACACCAAGGATAAATAATAGTCTCTTTAGGTCAACAGACTTCAGAGTTCACTAGGTTTAATCGATTAAGAAAAGGTGATAGAACCTCTATGCTAAATTTATGAAGCAAATTTCTAAATCAAACCTGTCCTGACTAAACCAGATTTGGCAAGTGATTTACTGAGTTTATATGTCCTATACATACTCAGAACCTTACATTCCAATGCTTCCATGTATGGCTATATCACTCAAATAGTATAACTTATATAGCCTATGCTTTTGATCAACCAATTCTAGCTCCTAATACTTTTCATAAACACTACAACCAATTCTAGCTCTTGACAGACAATGATCTTAATTATAATTGCTACATCACAATTTCAACAATTTACTATATGCTCTGAACACTATGTTACATTCATAAACAACCAATCACACAAAGAATTTAACAAGTAAAACAGTAGAATTTAGCTTAAAAGACAATTACCCTCATTTCTTGTAAGACAGAACATCATAGCGCTTCCGAGCCAACTTAACACAATCCAACCAATGCAAAATCTGGTAATTGGGATCTCTCTCCACCACCACATCATCCACCGTAATCTGAACCGAACCCCGAAAACCCGAAACTCGGCCACGAACCCGGGCATCAAAACCAATTTGAACTCGGCTAGAATGAATGTTTGCCATTTGGGCAATTGAGTGAACATCTGATGGGCATCGCCGAGAAAAGTAAGAAGATGTCATCTGATTCAACCAAAGAATACATTGGACACACCCAGTTCCATCATCAATGGAAAACCTCAGGAATTTGTCGGGCTTGAGGTCCCGAGTTACGACAACTCCGAATACTTCGACCCGAGAAATGGGGATTCCCTTACGGTAGAAGACAATCGAGTCACGGGAAGAAGAGGAGGAGAGAGAATGGGATTGGGTTAAAGAGTTGAGGTCGAAGGCGAGGAGTTTGACATTGATGTTGTTTAGCGAATTTGGGTTGATTGAGGGTTCATAGTTTGCTGGTTTCTTGTTTGAATGATTTGACATTCTGGAAATTTGAATGAAGTTTGTAGGTTTTTCTGGGTTTTGATGACTTTACAAGGAAGAGATTGGTTTTGGCGGGGAAGCTATGGTGGATGTGATCAATTAAAAACCTAATTAGATTTGGGTTTGGGAATCTAAAACCTTTTATTTTTTTATGAGAACTCGGCTACTGTAGCTTAAGAACAGTATTTCGGTTACTGTTGAAAATGAAGAGTGATAATAAGACTTTTTTGCCCTTTTTTCCAAGCTTTGATCAAAATCATCATTTTTAGGGTTTAATTGGGGGTTTTTACAAAAATTAGTGTAAAATTGATCACCTAAAAGGAGATCAGCTGATATCTCCGGCAGATGCGCTTAGAAGTCTGGCAAAAAAGCAGCAAGCAACAGAAGTTGGAAATCTGCTTCAAATTATGATGTTGGTTCTTGCTTTTGTACTTGGTCATGTTTTGCGTCGCCGTAAATTTTATTATCTTCCTGAAGCTAGCGCTTTTCTTTTGATTGGTATAAATCTCCCTCTTTTGATTTGTTGAACTAGGTATTTTTTAGTTAATGTTGCATGTGTGTTGTTTTTTGTCGATTTCGATTCTTATTTGCATGATTTTGGTCCAATATGGAGTGTCTAAGTGCTGTATTTGTATTGGAGTGTTGAGTATTTGTTACAAGTACTTGAAGTAAAATAAAGAGTCAGGGTAGCATATATGTTGTTATTGATGCTAACACGGGGTGTCTGCTATTTATATTATAGTTTTGGGTGTTATTGGTGATCTGATTTAATCCTTTTTTGTTCCCTTTTATGCCTGATGTTTGCTGGAATGAATGAAGTGTATAAGTGTTGTATCTATGCTTGAGTGATGAGAATCCAATGTGGGTACTTCAGGTGATCATGGGGTTTCCGGATACCTTTTAAAAAGTGTAATTGGTAAGATGGTGCATTTAAGAGAGGGCCAATGGAGGGTTTTGGGTGAGATTAGTTTAAAATGAATCCGTAATTGGAAATTTACATGATTACATGCATCTTAAAGCAGAAGCTGATTACTGTAAATATTGTCCATGTATGATAATTTTATACTTATGGCGGTATCACTATTTGTATAACTCTTTTGAATGTTATTCTGAAAGAGACCTTCCTATTAAATTGAGTTTTTGCTGTCAATTATCATACAGTGAATTTGATGGAATTTCAGGTTTACATTTGCAAAGGTAGATGTTATCTTAGTTAATTATCTGAAAGTGAATTAATTGTGGTTGAGTTGTTCTGTTCCAGACACTAGGCAAAGAGTGATAACATAGTGTTGGTTGCTAAAGTAAGAGCTCGCAACTTTGCAGAAAGGTAGCTCTTACATTCAAACTGCTTTATGTTGCTGAAATTCTTCTCTACATGATTCTGTAAGTTCTCTCTCATCTCTTGTCTTTCCCATTGCAATCTCTCTCATCTCCCTTCTTCCCCTTTTTCCATCCTTCCCTACTGATTTTTTTTTTCTTTTTAAAACGAGAATTTAGATATTTTGGGTTTAGGGTATAGTAGGATCAATGGTTTCTGATGATTTTTTTTTTTTTTTTTTTTTTTTGAGATGCTTATGCCCCATTTTGATGTCACAGTATTACTTCTACAATAGGTCATGTTTGATTGGGTTGGCTAAATGGCTGCAGCTGAGAAGCTTGACTAAAGATGGGTTGTCTTTAGTACTGTCAAAACGGTTTTACAGTTTGGTTTCGGTTTGGTTTGAAATCGGGTCGGTTTGAAATCGGTTTAAATGTCTTACGGGTTGGTTTTAGTTCGGTTTAAATAATTATCGGTTCGATTCGGTTTCGGTTTATTCTTGAACGGTTTAAATTCGGTTCGGGTAGTAAACGATTCGGTGCAAACGGGTTGCGGTTTGTTAACGGTTCGGTGTAAACGGTTTTTATCCCGTTTTAAATTCGGTTCGGGTTGTAAACGGTTCGGGTTGTAAATGGTCCGGGTAGTAAACGGTTCGGTGCAGACGGGTTGCGGTTTGTTAATGGTTTTTATCCCGGTTAGAAACGGTTCGGTTCTTTTTTAGTTCAGTTTTATTTTAGTTCGATTTATAACTGGTTCGGTTTGTTAGCGAGTTCGGTTCTTCTATGATTTAACATTATTTGGATCAGTTTTATTTTAGGTTTACTAAATTACGGTTCGGGTCTGTTTTTGATTTTAAAAAATCGGATTTTTATCGAGTCGTTCAAAATACTCCTAGTAGGAAGTGGTTTGTAAAATGGTTCGAATTATAAGCGATTCGGTTCATAAACGGTTCGGTTTATAAGCGATTTGGTTTATAATCAGTTCGGTTTATAAACGGTTCGGTGCAAACGGGTTGCAATTTGTTAACGGTTCGGTGTAAACGGTTTTTTATGCCAGTTTAAACGGTTTCGGGTTAGAAACGGTTCGGTTTAGATTTGATTCAGTTCTTAAACGGTTTAACGTTTACTCGGATCGGTTCGGTTTCGATTTTACTAACATACGGTTCGGGTCGGTTTTCGGTTTCATAAAATCGGTTTTTAATCGGTTCAGTTCTCATTTGGATCGGTTGAAACGGTTCGGTTTCACCAGTTCGGTTCGGTTTTTGACAGTGCTAGTTGTCTTATTTAGATAAATTTATTGTGAAGAGTTATGAGGTTGGGATTAGTAAGACTGCTACTTTATTGTGGAAGTGTTTGGTTGTTTTCTTTAATTTTTATTTTTGGATGGCATGAAGAGCAAAGAGTTACAATATAGCTGCAGATTATGTCTCCAATATGAAACTTTTAATAATGGCTAAACTTGAGTGAGCAATTAGCTTAGGTTGTTTGTTGACTTCAGGTTGCAATTAAGGTGATTTTCATTGATAACTAACCCTTAATTTTACCACTCTGAGCTATGATTTCTATTTGTCAAATGTTAGTCTTATAATGTTTTAGGTTTGCGGTAATATTCCAAAGACCAATTTAACAAATCAATTTAAGGCTTTGTTTAATCTTAATTTTGAGGTTTGAACTTATGGTTTATCATTATTCTTTTTAAGTAATGAGTTTATTGTAATTGTGTCTACAGCTTTGTTTATTATCCCTGAGGTCATGATTTGCTTTAAGTGTATTTTTAGATGAGTGGAATTACTTTTTGTTTGTTACTTTTCAATTTGCTTTGATTGTTCATTTATTTGCAGTACAATATCATGTGACTTTGCCATTTTAGCTTAGGGTTGTGCTTTAGATGGAAATTTTAATTTGAATTTAATCCTTTTGATACTTTATAATTGTACATTGTTTCTATAGTTATCAGTTGAACTTGAGGTCCTTTATTCTTTTCAATTTTGTTTAGCTTTCTTATCAAATGTTGATTCCATATGACTGACTTTTTCTGGTTTTTCTCTGTTGTTCTTCTTTGGTTTTAGTGCGCTCACCTGGAGCTTGATCCATCAAAATAATCTGTGTGGATTACTAAAGCAAAGCTTGGAGTTGTTGCGCGAGAATTTTGTTCAAGCGTCTTCAGGTATACAGACTATACTCTACAATTTACTACTGAAATCTTGATTGAATTGTGTGGGTGCATGTTTATAATATGATCGACTTTTAGGGGCTGAATAAGTAACTCTGGGCTATCCTTTTTATCTCATTGCTTAGTCTATGCTTTGTATGCTCTCTTTGTTTTTATCTGTTACAAATGACAACTCATGAATGCTTTCTTAGCTGGGGTATGCATAAGCTGCTAATTATTAGCTTGTAGGAAATTAATGCTATAAATTGAGAATTGAAGGTAATGAGAGTTATTTTCTCGGGAAGAACAGCTTAATGAGAGAAAAGGTGAATTTTATCATATTTTTGGTAATATATTCGTGTCCGAACGTTAGTGCCTATTTTTGAGTTTTTCTCCCAGATTTTATGATGTGGGTTTTTGCTTATTTTCTTTAACTTGTTCTTTTTGCTGTTTATTGACTGTTTTTTCCGATTATTCTTGCTTTATATGTGTAGAGATCAACAAGGAAAGATGGGAAGCTTGAATGAAGATTGAAGTGATAAGCAACATTTTCCTCTCTTAACGATCAGTGAAAGAGTGAAAGAGCAACATCAAGTTAGTTCTAATGCTTGTCTGAGGCCTTTAGTTCTTTGTTTATCTATGTGTAATCCATCACTCATATTTATTTTGGTTAATTGAATTTTGGAATTTGGGTTTTTTTTTTTCCTTTCTTATCGTTTTTACCCTATAATTAAAATTTTAATTTGAGTAGTACTTGTCCTGCTATTTTTGATAGCTTAGGTAATCTTGGTGTTACGGAGTAATTGATTTAACTAGAATGCTAGAAGCAAGCAATACGAAGTATGAATGACCTTTTTGTTCTTATTATTTTCTTTCTTCCCCATTTGCAGGTAACACAATCTGCACTTGATAAAGCAAACTTAACTGCTAAAGATCTTTCTGCAGTAACAGTAACTATTGGTCCTAGATTAAGTTTTTGCTTGTGTGGTAATCTATTTGGTTGACTATCTGTGTGTCTGGTTTTATTTACAAAATAGAAAAATAGCTCACAGTTCTTATAAATTTGAGCAATGGGCATAGAGGCCACGTGTGTTAAGCAAAAGCTTGGGAATATGGTTGAGGAGATTAGGAAAAGAAGTGATGACAAAAATCTGTCTATATAAAATTCTTACTTTTCTTTTTCTTCCAAAACAACAAATATTGGTTTAAACGTGAAACAAATTGTGAATCTCCTTCTATAGCAGTTCATCATTAGTTAACCAAACTAAGGAGCAATTTCCAGTCTAACCGATTAAACCAAACTATAAACCATAACCTCTCTCTTTCCTTAATTTCCATTTTTTAGCATCTTTAAAAACCAAATAAGATGTTAGTTATCAGAATAATTCATCTCTTAATTTGTTTCATAGTTGTTGTGTAACAGTTCTGTATTATTTTCTTCATATTATATTTCCTAACATTTTTTTAATCATTTTACTTTGGAAGAAATAACAAGATTATGTGTGTTGTTTAATCCAGTGTCCATCTCATATCCATTAAATTTGTTTTGGAAAATAGTATAGATATATTTTTCTTCTGCGAACTCTGTAGTAATGCAGCCACACAACTTCTATTGCAGGTGGAAACTATGGAATTCCTGGAAGATTGCATAGATATGTATTTGGAAAAGTAAGTGGTATGGTTCCTCGTTTCAGGTAAGAATCACAAACCTTGCTGCTTATGATGTGATTATAATCAGTTACTGTTCATAAGCTACACAGCAACTATCCTCGTGTCCGTTTAGATATATTTTTCTTCTTCAATTCAATGTTTACAGGTACTTTTGTCCAATTAAGAAGCCTTCTAATTTAGGAATTCCTAACTCTGTAAAAAAGTAAAAATAGTTTTGATTTCTTAATCTATTGTTATTGTCAAGTAGTTATAATTTTCAGGCCATTTAGAGTTTTAGACACAATTGTTGGTATGACCTTTGTCAATAACACCTCCCTAATCACCTCTTTGTTGACATTCTGGAGTGCCTTTGTTTCCTATGTGCCTGCTGCTCTGTTTTTTCTTGACTTCTTAGCTCTTTCTTTGACAGTGAATGGGAATATGCCATACTTCCCATCATAGAGTAGTTCCCCATTTATGTCATACAATGGCTTCCCAATGATTGTCATGAACATTGCCTTAAGCTTGAATCTTCTTAACTGTTGTGTCTTGTAGGGATCTTCCTCTGTAGGAAGGAGATAAAATCTCCTTTTATCAGGATTGAGATAGAACCGTTTCTCATCTATGTGTATGACATGGTTCATGTCAACAAAAGTGGGGTCCTCATTTGCTGTGAGTAGGTTTATATGTGACAGAACCCATTTCATTCTAGCTACCTTGTGGTATGATGTGTGTGTTCTCAGCCTTCCCTTTTTCTTCAAATTATGAAGAGTGACATGAGAAATCTTCAAGGCAACTGCATAACTTCTTTCTGTCTGCCTTAGATGTAGAGGGACTGACTGTAGGAATACATCTGAAAATTCCCTTGGCTTTGGACCTATTCGGCCGTACTTCTTAGTCCTGACATCAATCAAATTCCCCTGTGCCATTTGTTTTTTAATGTCAATGAATATTCTAGTGATTGTTGATTTGTGAATATTGAATTGAACTAATCTTGCATTTTCACCAACATTGCATCAACAATTTCCCTTTTCTTTTGCAAAGTGAGCTACTTCTTTTGTGTTTGTTGATTCCCAACTTCATTGAATACTTGCATGTCATTGTCTTCATCCTCTTCATGTGCAATGTGAACATCTTGTGTGCCTTGCTACCCATTTCTTCTTCTTCTTCTTCTTCTTCTTCTTCTTCTTCTTCTTCTTCTTCTTCTTCTTCTTCTTCTTCTTCTTCTTCTTCTTGCATGTTTTCATTTTCTGTTTCATATTGCTCTAAGTCTTCATCTTGCATTTCTTCTTGTTGATCATAGTAGATTTCTGTCATTGTTTCCTCTGTTAGTATTTGATCACATCATAGAACAAAGCTTCAATAAATTATGCCATGCCTTGTGTCTGATTTTTTTTTTTTCCTCAGATTGAGGTTGATGATATAGGATTGGCTGCTGTTTTTTTTTTATTTTTTTTATTTTTAGGAGATGAAGCTGCCCTAGGTGAATATGTAGATAATGAAGGTTGCTAGGTGATGAAGATGATGAAGATTGAAAATGTGAAGCACTAATTTTAGTTTAGGGAATTTTTTGGGTAAATATGGGCTAATCATGGGTAGTTAGTGCTAACTTTTGGGTGAACATTTGATCTTTTGAAAAATTTCTGGTGTGTAATTAAGTGTGCATCATTGAATGCTTGTGGCAGATTTGGGGGCTAATATTTATAAGCCTCATAAATGATGAATACTTGGGTTTTTTTTTTTTTTTCAAGTAAAATGAATACTTGGTTTAAATATGTTGTTCTTTTTTTAAAAAAAAAAATAAAATAAAATAGAAGGGAAATAAAAACCCTCCCAAAATTTCACTCAATTCGAATTCTTTGTGAAAAATTGGGAGGTAAAACAAATCCCTCCTAAAATTAGCATATTTTCCCACCAATTTGCAAGTGGGTGGGTCCTACTTTCTCTCTCCTCTTCCTTTAATTACTTTATAAAAATTTTCCTAATCTTTGCCCCTTAAGTTTTGCCTTGGTAACCGCAACCCCCTCCAAAATTGCACATAACATTTAACGGAGGTAATAATATAGATTATATTCTTATTGACTTATTGGCCATTTTACACAATAAACTAACTAACCAAATGCACCTATGCCCCCAAAGTTTAATTGCTTTGGCGAAACTTGATCTTTAATATATTATGCCTACTTCTTCTTTCAAAAAAAAATTAACTACTGCCTAGTTATAAAACACTATTACGCAAAACGCTAATAAAAACAATTTGTCAAACACGCTAACATTAAACCTTTAAACTCTAACAAGCTAGTTTAAACCGTTAATAGAGATAAAGTCGAGAGTTTTCCAAAAGATCAGTCATCACAATTTATATTTATATCCATATCAAAATTTTAATCCATATCCATTTATCTGGGAGCATATATAAAAGCTGAATTCATAAAATTGATTAAGTTAGTAATCCTCACAAAGAAAAAGATAAACATCTACAGTTAAATTCCCCTCTCTCTTTCTAATGGCAGATCAAGGAAAGCGGGCTGAGATCTTTGAGCTCGACAATGGTTCAATGCATGTAAAAATCTCAAACTATGGCTGCACAATCACTTCTTTATCAATCCCTGACAAAGATGGTACATTTATTTTCAATAAAATTTTTGATCTTTTCATCTAATTTAAGTTTTTTCCTTAATTTCTTTTCTGGGTTTTATTATTGCATGTATGATAATTGATGGGTTTTGTCTAATTTTCGTGAAGGTAAACTTGCGGATGTTGTATTGGGATTTGACTCTGTCGACCCTTACCTGGTAATTTATCTCTTTCTTTCCAGGATTTTGCATTGTATTAATAATTTTTTGTTTGAATTTTTGTATTTTATTGATGAAAAACGTCTGTTTATTTCGCAAATTATCTAGATTTTTTGGAATTTCTGATGAAAATTATTTTAGATGGCATGAGCTTGTTGGTTGAATTCATGAACATTGTGGGATTAATAGGTTTATAAATGGGGTCAATAATTATAAGATATGAGTATGAAATTTAATAATTTTAGAACTGTATTGTAGATCAATTTTGGAAAATCTTAAAGGTTGTAATGTTGTCATGATAATACACTTAGGTAAGTCAGTAAGTGAGACTTTTCTTGTAGTCAACCAAACTCAATTTTAAATCCAAGCCCAAATTCGGATCCTGAAACGAACATGCTTGTATTTGCCTTTGAGGCTGAATGCAACATCAGTTGTTCTTCCTATTGAATTTCTTACATTTGAGCTGTCGGGTTTCTTTGCAACAAGTAATGATCTATGATCTTCAATGTTTCTGTCGCTAATTAATGTCTAATTATTTTTAACCCAGCAAGGAGCTGGATCATATTTTGGTTGCATTGTTGGTCGTGTTGCAAATCGAATTAAGAATGGGAAGTTTACACTTAATGGAGTTGAGTACTCTTTGCCTGTGAACAATCCCCCAAATAGTCTCCATGGTAAGATAAATTTAGCTTCTGAGATTCTTAAACTTGTGTTATCTCTTATCTCTGCGACTGTTGACATATGAGATGATATTATTTGTTGCTTTCCTTTGTTTATAAATTGTCATGTGAGACTCCCTAGTCTTGGTATTTAATTTCTGAATCCTCTTTATGATATAGTAAATATTGACTTCTTGTTGTTGAAGACAGAATCTGATAAATATTATTGGATCAAGCCTTCACTCTGTCTTCTTTATGCCTGTTATCTTTCAAAAGGGTGTGACTGTGTTCTTTATATACTCTCTGAACTGTTAGAATTAAATGTGGTAGTGAATTGAATTTAGGTATCCCTTATTGACCCTAAACTTGAACTATGTGGTATTGAATTTAACTTACTCCGCCTGAATCTATTGCTTTTGAAATAAGTGAAAATACAGCAAGAACGCTGAAGGCCTAGGTTTTTTTTTTTCTCTTTTTATATGATTATCAAGTGCCACATTGCATTTATGCCTACATTAATCTTGGCCCAAAAAGTGACCTGGTGGCCAAAGCACTACAATTGACATTATTTACATCTTTACAATGTGAACTAGTTCCAAATTGGGCCATTGTTTCGCTTGGATTCTAGTTCCATGTGGATTAGGTTGGACATCGAATTATGTTCCTTTTATCTGTACATTCCCCTTACGTGTTTCCTTATAATTTTAGATCTTTTCATTTAGGTGGCCATAAAGGATTTGACAAGCAGATATGGGATGTAGTTGCCTATGAGAAAAACGACACTCCCTCGATTACTTTTAAGTATCACAGTCATGATGGCGAGGAAGGTATGCTCTCTATTGTCACTTCCCTCTTCTGCTGACTACTGAATTTTTTTAGTGTGTGTTTCAGAGTTTACATCAATGAACATTTATCATATTTTACACCTTGTTTATACACTAAATTAAGTTTTTGGAAGAGAATACAAAATATCACTTGGTATATTTTTAATTTTCAATCTATTTGTAATTCCTTACCGTGTTTCTGTAGGCCTGATTAATATGTCAAAAACATTTTGAAAGAATCTGCTAACGCTATACTCCAATAGAGTCAAACTTCATAGTACAATTTTCTAACATTCACCTATTTGTAAAATAAACTGATGCTAAATCTATTCGTTTTCCAAACAAAGCCCTAAGAAATGTTCTTCATGAAACAGGTTATCCTGGTGATCTTTCTGTGACTGCAACATATACTCTTACTTCCAAAACAACCATGAGGCTAGACATGGAAGCTGTGGCTGAGAACAAGGCCACTCCAGTCAATCTTGCTCAACATACATATTGGAATCTAGCAGGGCACAATTCAGGGCCTGTGCTTGACCATCATATTCAAATACGGGCAAATCACTACACTCCAGTTGACGAGAACACAGTCCCAACCGGAGAAATTGTCTCAGTTAAAGGCACACCATTCGATTTTACTTCGGAGAAGAGGATCGGTCAGGATATTGATAAAGTTGGCATGGGATATGATCACAATTATGTGCTTGACTGTGGGGATGAAAAGACAGGATTAAAACATGCTGCTAAAGTCAGGGAACCTTTGAGCAAAAGGGTCCTTGACCTCTGGACTAGTTCCCCTGGCATGCAATTCTACACTGGTAACTATGTGAATGGAGTCAGTGGGAAAGGTGGGGCTGTTTACAACAAACATGCTGGACTTTGTCTCGAGACGCAAGGATTCCCGAATGCTATTAACCAACCGAATTTCCCTTCTGTTGTTGTTGAACCTGGTAAAAAATATCAGCACAGTATGTTGTTTGAGTTCTCAATTGCATAGAGTGTCTTTTGTAGGTTCTGTTTTAGTATTTCCTAAATAATATGTCCCACCTGTGTAATGGCTTGCAGACTGATTCCGTAATAAATGAATAATGAGTGATTTTATTATCCTTTCGTATGCAAAATTTGCCTTGTGTTATACAGTTCGTAGTTTGTAAATTGTACTGATGTTGGTTAATTAGATTAATCTGCAAAAAATTACTTTAGTTTGAAACTTGTGAGTTATGACCATGCATGAAGGCATGAAGCCACCGAGTAATTTTCATTAGCTTTTTGTCAGAAGTTGACATCGTGTAAGCCAAAGGCCCAAAAGGAATTCCACCCCAAGCAGCCAGGGTTGTGAACCCTGCCCAAGCAGCTAGGGTATGTTAATCTTGCCACAAAACATAATGATCCTAGACCAGTTCACAATAGACGATAAGTATAGCTTAGGTAGAAACTCTGTCCTTGTGGTATTTTTATCTCTCATTTTGGTCTGAAAGTACGAAGTGTATAAGCCGCAGTTACATTCTTCTCCTTAAATGTGTTTAACATAGTCCAAGTCAAGTTGTTGGGAAATAAATGATGAGTAAAAATTAATTTCTTTTAATGTGTTATATCAGTAGCAGGAGAGAATCAAACTGGTTTATAATTCATGCCCGAGCTGTTCAATCCAGCTCTTTTCATCAACAATCACGAGTTAAAGGGATCATTTTGAATTTGCATGTTATATATTCTGAAAGGATCACAATAGTAATGGAATGAACACAATAATACTCTAGAGGGGGGGGGTTGAATAGAGTATGGGCGTTTTTCGCAAAACACAAAATATCAAGGTCTTGAAATTAATTTCTAGGCGGAATAAACTAATTTCAGACTTAAAGTCAAGGCTTAGAAAACAATTGATACAGCAAAGTTGATTGCTAATCAGAAAGTTAGATGCGTTTGTTTGAACTTAGCAAATGATCAGTTTGAACAACACAAAATTAAGTGCAAGAACAGAAAGTAAAGAACACAAGGTAATTGTTACGAAGTTCAGCACAAAGGCCTACGTCTCCGCTTAGGGTTGTTAAACCCGTAGGATTTTAACCAACTTTTATTTCTTTCCTTAGAGTTCTAAAGCAACCTAGAAGATCTCACTATCTTCTCTCCGTAGCACCCCAGCTACACCTTAGACACTCAGTTCCTAGAAATAAAAGCTAACACACTCAAACAACTTCGAGTATTATAATTTTACTACGAAGTGTATCACTCAAGTATTACAATGTTAAGCACAAGTGTACACTCTCGTATTTTTTTCCCTCACTTTTTAAGTAATAGACAAACTATGATTGAATGAGAGAAAGTATAACTCTAGAATGGCATAAAACTTCTGAAAAACTTCGATGATCAAATCCAGCAAGTCTTCACGCTATTTATAAGGCTTTTAGGCTGATTTCAAATGTTGCAAAACTGACTTCAAACGGTTTGAAAGTCTTTAACAGAATTCCTTAATTCTTGCTTCAACGGAATTTTCGATTCTTTTGAAATTCAAACGTTGTGGGCTGTTGCATTCTGTTTTCAACGATTATCTTTTTGAAGATATCAGCCAGCCGTAATCTGTTACAATTACAGGCTAACAAATTCCTTGAAACAAGGTTAGGCAATATAAGATAAAAGTATTCAAAACATGATTTATTTATCTTAACCGAAAATTAATCATGATAAAAATTCTAAAATAATAACTTGATAAAATAATTAATAACTTGATAAAATAATTAACAAAAAAATAATCAGAAACATTATCATTTAAAATACTTATGCAAAAATAATTCAAGTTAACAAAATTAATTTATCATACATTTTGGGCTTTCAACACAAGTATCTATATTACAAAAGTCCACGCACAGCCATATTAGTACATTAGTTGGGTTTGACTTCCATCATAATAAAGTTAGAATAAGTAACAAGGCTATTCATCAAGGTGGAGTCTTCATATTCATTGTAAATATGAATCTACCATCAAGAGAGTAACTTGATAGAGAAGAAACAGGAAATCCAGTACATAACTTTGAGATAAAAGCAGCCTATATTAAACATTTCCGGTACATAATTTTTGTATGCAAAACTTGTCTTTGTGCAAAAATCCCCGTGCTTTATATACAGATTACAGAATATGTGAGGGGGCCTTCAGTTAACAAGCTTAGTCAAGAAGGAAATAACTTTGAAGGCAATAGTACACAGGCATATTGATCATATTTCCGGGCTAATCATTTACTACTCGAAGGCGTCAGTTACTTGTTAAGGTGGAGGACACTGATTTCTCTGAAAGAGTCCTGTAAATGCCACTTATTGTCTTTGGAGTAGTTCTACAGCAACCACCAAATAGAGAAGCCCCTGCCTTCTGCCAATGTTTCACATAAGAAACAAAATCTTCATCTAGAACCCCTGTATTTTGCTGCAAGATATGCATTGAGTCAGGCATGAATTTACAATTCAAACAGATAACAGTCAAGCAGCTACCCATTAGTGACAGCGAAATGAGCTAGGTGAATACCTTGACATAATACAGAAAACCCAACCATTTCTACAAATTATGAGACAGTAATACTTTGAAAAGTATACCAGGCATTCTGGCAACATAAGTTCTGCTAGTCTAGTGGTGCTACTCTCAAGTCTTGACATTATGACAGACGTCACCAATACTACCGAAAAAAGAAGATAATTAGGCAGTACTTAATAGCAGTAGACAAAGAAAAATATTGCATACAGAAGAAACAAATTCTCTGAACAAGCACAGCATAATAACTGTGCTCAACATAGGCTTACAAATCAGTTGAGAACAACTATATTTTTCCTCCAGTCGGACCGTCAGTTCAATTATTCTTGAATTTGCATCAACAGAAAGACTCTGCAGTGCATTTTAAAAAGCTTGGTAAAGTAAGTCTCTACTTTTTACCCCTACAATAGAGAACTAACATCTCAAATATAGATGACCCAAAGTTCCAATCAGAGATTAATAATTGTAAACCAGATTTGAGCTTTTGCACTCCTATATCACTCCCTACTTTCTAGTAGTGTAAGAATTGAGAGTACTTAATCCAAAGAGTTGGCAGTCACTGAAGCAGATTATATAAGGGCCTGAAGAGACCCTCAAAGGCTGCTCCATAGCCAGAGGAATTTCTTATGCAGCTTTTCTGATAACAATTAGTGGTGTTCGAGTCTTAAGTGCATCATCTTTACCAGGTTATAGAAAGGTCTAACAAGTATGACTTCTAATTTTTTTTTATTATTTTTTTAAAATTACAGGAATGCTGAGGATCTTTTTCAGGTCCCATTTCATAGATTGACACAAGGCAAGTTGGCAACCTAGGAGACTATTAATAAATAAATAAAATAAAATAAAAATTATTTTTTTATAAAAAACCTGGTAAATTTCACTCTGATTATGTTTAGCCAGAATGAGTGTTTAGAACAAAACTTAAATCTTCAATCTGGTATCTATACAATCAAGTGGCCATTCAAACAACAGCATGAGCTCTTGTTTTCAGTTGATATTTCCATTAAATATTGCCAAAGACAGAATGACCTTTCCTATTTAGAGGTAATAAGTACGGATATGGTGTCAAACAAACACGGGATGATCCCAGAAGATCTCCCATCAATTCAACCCCTGAAAATTCTCAATGGTGTGACTTAAAAGCCCAGAAGAATTCTCTCCAATTCCTATTAAAACTTTCTAATGCTCATATAAAGAGTCAAGGAGGACAAACAAAGCTTAAATCTCATGGTAAACCAAAATGAAGGGACCATCAAATAATCTCATAACGCTACTTTCAGGCCTCAGTGCAGATGTTAGAACCCTGGAAAGTCTCACAACCTTCTAAATGGGATCTACGACATGTGGATGCAGTGCTTACTATAGTCAAAATAGCCAATGTGTAGGGCATTTTAAGAGTTTGTTTGAGAGCTTAGGAGATTTGTCTTACAAGTGGTGTTTGCAATAGATAGGTATGACCTATGAATTATTTAAGGGAAAAATCTTTTCCTGATACAACTGATCACTAGGAAGCCTAGAACTTCCCTTCTAATTCCAATATATAGTTTTCAGTTTTTAAGTGTTTGGTGTAGAGAGACCTGCAAAGGGCAGATGATATAGCAGGATTTGATCCCAAGGTCCTAGGTACCACCCTCCAAGGCTTTCACCAACTAAACTAGTTAGCATCCACAATTCATAATTTTCTTAGTGTCCTAAAAGGAAAACACGTGGCAAAAATAACATCCTTCTGGTTGTGGATCTTTACTTGGGTGTGGTAATCTATGTCACACATGAAGAAATTAGTTTGGGAAACTTAACACTAATATCCGTAGAGACTATCCAGTGTTGCATGGAATAGTCTTCAGGTCATAAGTCCATAACTCATTGCCTATGAAAGGGCCTATTCACTAATGTTGTGTGTCATATATATATCCAATAATAGATCCCCATAATTGAAAAAAGCAGAGTAAAAACTCATAATAATAACCATTTAGTTAACAAAACTGAAGAGAAAAAACTCACCACCCACTCCTTTATAATGGGATCATAGGTTTCACCACTGTTCGGATATATAATAATTGGTTTTGTTGCCACCTGAAATAATTATCCACACAAGCTATTAGAATTTCAGTGCCAGATTGCTGCTTGAGTATATATAAAACACTATAGCAGGAAACAGAGACAATATCAGGTTTCATTTTATTTCAATTGAGAAATTTCAATGGTACCCTTTTTGAGCCAGTAGAGTTTGAAAAACAAGAAATAATCCTATATTTCCTCCAGATATAAGAACAAGCAGAAGAAAACCTACTCTAATTTTACCTTTTTAATTGACAAAATCAGTCCTTGAATAAACCTGGGAGGAGTACAATTAATTCCAACTGCAACAACCTTCTTGCTAGCCTCAGCAATTGATGCACACTCAGGGAAGGAATCGCCACTGACCACATTTTCACCATCCTTTGAGCTAAAGGTAAACCATGCTGGAATATTTATATTTTCCTCTTCAAGTAGTTCAGCATAAGCCTGGACATAGGACATAACAGCCAAGGTAAAGGCATTTTAGAGTGCCAATATACACAACTTTTGTGAGTGTCATTAACCAAATTTGTTGCCCCTCCATTAAGTCCAACTAGACAGATAATGCATCCTATGGATCCCTAAAGCTGCAATAGTAGCATAGATTAATGAAATTTTGCATAAATTGGCATCCAAAAATTAATAAATTATCCCAGAATGTAAAGTAGAAAAATCAAGATGACACAGTAAGACATCTAATTCAGAAACCTCAGGATCAAAATTTGTAACCTAACAGTTTTAGCACATAATATTCCATAGCTCCAACATACCTGTGCTTCTACTTTATTTGGAATTGTTTCAAATGCAATTAGGTCGGCACCTGATTCAGCTAAAACCTGAACTCTTCTCCGATGAAAATCTTTTAAGAAATCCAGAGTCACAGTATTACCATAGTTCCCACTGTAAAAAGAATCCATAGGAAGAGGCAAATTTACTTAACATGATCAGGATTTATGTAAGGAAAAGACCATAAAAAATATCAAAAATATAAAAACGAAGAAATTGTAAAGATAAGCCAGTAGGTCGTTATTGTCAGCACATTGGAGAAGATGCACATAGATATCAGACATCACACAAGATTGTGATTAGTAGCATGACTACACAGAAAAAGGCTTACCCCTTGCTACAACGAGGGATCAGTGAAGGCGTAAAAGAAAACATTGAATCACTGAAACAGAACAGATAAACAGGGGAGAAAGGCAAAAAGAGAATAGTTTATTCATTCATGCCACTACCACAGCATACAAGACTCTAACTAAATAGATCTAAAGACGCATCTGTTTGACACTCTGACCACTATACCTGTAGCTTTAGCTTCCCCACACAATATTCAAGAACATGACATATAAGAAATTGATAGACTCCTTCATCACTTTCCCACCAAATTTCATCCACTATTTGTATCCTTATATTACAAGTGCTTATGACATGAAAAATAAATATTAGGTACAAGTGCTCATAATTTTGTGGGAAGCAAGTTATGATTTCAGCCATTTCTATCACCAATGAAACACAAATATGCATAGAGCAGAATTACCAAATCATGCTAGAGAACAGGTAGTATTATATGCATCCCCCAAATTTAGTCCTAATTGACCAATTACCATGCAAGCATAGTAAGAAAGGTAATACTGGTAGTATGTAATAGTTGGGGATTGGAAAATGATGATAGCAAGTATTACATCAATCATTCTAGATAATAGAAGTTAGCTTTACAACGAGTAGAAGAAGGAAGTATTGGAAAAATATTATCTATAATATGACTGATCAATGGTCAAAATATAGTAAACAAGCGTCTTTGGGACCAAGAGTAAGATATTTGACTGTTAAGTGATGACATTTCACATCTACGAGTAGTAGAGTACTTGTAGAATGCACGGGGACGAGAAGTTCAAAAAAGGATAAGAATACAATAGTATTACTACATGAAAAAAAAGAGTGGGGGAGGGGAGGTGGCTTTGTATTACCTATACTCAGAACCATCAGCCAAATAAGCACCATAGCTTCCCACTGATGCTGCAACCAAGATGGGCCTACTTTTTAGGATCTTGCTATCATGTCTAGCCTCCACAGAAGCTTTACCACAGTTTTCATAGTATAACTCACGTGCCTCACAGGCAATTTCAACACTTTTCCTTAGCAAGGCTTCACTTTCTTCTTGTGATAACCCTTTGGCGCGAAAACCCTGGATGGTCGCCTATCAAGGTACATCAAAAGGTGAATTTACAAATTTATAAATGTCTGTTTAATAGGATAAAACAGTAACTAATCAGTGATACAAGATTTAAGGGAAGGCTACCTGATACGATGCAGATATTATGATATCAGCACCAGCTTCAAGGTAATCAAGGTGAACCTGCAGCATCATGTACGTCGTATTAAGCAATCAAACCGGCATTGTGGCCAAATATATATAAAGGAATGGCAAGCCTACATCATAAATGATTATGCATCAGAAATGGTATACCAACACACAAAACCAAGAGTCCGGATCATTAATAGCAAATTGATACTAAAAAATTTGAACAACATAACCCATCTACTGAAAGAAAGGCATATGTAGTACTATAGAAAGAATTCCAACATGATATCCACCACATCAAGGCAATTGTGGGGCAGAATCAAGTGTGTCGCTGATTGTTTATCTTCAAAGAAATTAATAAAGGATACAAAGACTTATTTTCTTTGATATATGAAGTCAAATTTCAATAAATAGCACAACTTAATACATGACACCATAAATTATAAGACAATACGACACAAAGTATATATGACTAACTCTAATATCTTAGTAAATTACACCAAAGCATCTTTTACTAAGTAGCAATAAAAGGTGATATGTGACAAGCTATTTAAACAAGTGACCTAAAGTTAAATTTTCAATTTCTAGCAAAATGTTAATACTCCGAATCTCCGATTCTCCCTCCTCAACATAATCTTGTTGTATGCATTTTGAAGCATTACTTTGTCACACATTTATACATATAATATAATGATTTACTCAGTATAAACATAATAATTATTGGATTAATCTCCAAATTTACTCTCTACAATGAGCTTTCTAACTGTCATTCAAGACTGAAAAAAGAATATAGGCATTTTCGGAAGGAGGGAGTAGTACTGCACATACAACTAGTACTACATAATTCGAAGCAAATGATGTAGATGGGATTTAATATCAATATTTTTTTTTGACAACGGTCCAAAAAGGAGGCTAGCTCCCAACTAACTTGAGACTACAAAGAGAGTATTTAACTCTCTTGACCATACTAATACAAGAATTAAAACGGGGATAGGGGGTACAAACATAATGAATTGCTTGACAAAACAAATGCGGTGGGTGAGAAGATTCATCGCCGATACTAGCCATAAGATGTTCCTCTCTTGCGTTTCTTGATCCTGCAAAAACACAACCTAGAATACTTGTTATCTTTCTTGTTCTTCACCCATGGCCTTCCATTTTTCCTTAGCGTGATAGAGAACGTGAAGGTAAAGGTAGAAGATGGTGGAAAGAACTGCACCTGGGTTCAAAGCTCATGGGGTCTTCATCGTCAGAACCTACGAATTCCACATCAGCAAGATCAGTGGTAGTTAAAGCTCTCGTAAGTATCGCGTTCCCCTCCTCCATACTTGAACCCGCATTAATGCTAGAAGTTAGGCTAGTAGATATATGATCATCTAACTTCTCAATGACAACGGTATTGGGTTTGGGGCACCCAACAACATGATAACCACAACGGTGTCAAGAGGTTGCTTGGCCTTTTTCTTTTGGCTCTTTCTAGAACGACTCCTCTTCTCCGGATCTACCTTTCGAGTGGCATGCACAAGGTTTCAGGAACTTTGGAGTCCTTTGTCTTCAGAGATACAGGATGCCCATCGAGGGTGGTCTTTTCCTTCACTCATACAGTCATCCATGAAACAGCAACAGAATGTTTGAAGAAATTCAAGGTTTTCCCATGGCTTAGATCCGAATAAGACAAATCGGACATCTTAAGGGACTGATTAGTTCTCAATCTGTTGAGGAAAAATGGTTTTTCCTCGATCCCTTGATCTTCGCTTGTCTAGAGTTTTGGTTAGTTGGGGAGCTGGTAGCATCATTGTCCCCTTTACCCAAAGGGGTAAAATCATTGATAGTAGAGATAAGGCTCTCTACTATCATCTCACTAGCAGAGGGTAAGTCCATAACCTCACTCTGAGCTTCGCTACTAGGCAACCTGTTAAAATTCTAGACTGATTGAAGGCTTGTTGACCTTCCCCATTGCGTTGAAGCTGGCATGGGACAAGTCGGCTCCTTGGTACCTCTCTTTCCCTTTAACTTGCTAGCTTTGCTTCTTAGCCCCTCCACCTTCTCCATCTCACAAAGGACGTCCTCATTATTAGTGGTGATGTGGATCTCTCAAGCTACTCCCAAGGCTCACAAACTATAATAACATTGGATCTTCGGATTTTAACAAGAACTAAAGAAATTACACGAAAATTAAAAGGATAATACTCTAGTTCTCGCAAGAATAGAGAGTCTCTTCCTAGTCGCAATTAGAAGATGATCACGAGTCGCAACAAGTGATTTTTTTATTAACAATCAAATGGCGCTCAAAGGGTTAATTCCCATAACAAATCTCTCATCATTATTCATTAAAAATCACTATTGATATGCACCCATATTTATAGGGTGAAAAATTGTACAAACATAAGATAGGAAACTAATAATCATATCCTAAAATAAGATATAATATTGAGAATCCTAATCCTAACTCCTAATCATATTTGTGACCAACTACTAAATTTATCCTAACATAAATAAATTAAACAAATAAATATCCTGATGACTAAAACTCTTAAAGCCATAAAATAGGAAAAATCCTTTCAAGTGAAAGTTAAAAACCCATAGGCAAAATCCTAATAATTAATAATAACTAAAAGATAGTGTAGGCTTTTTTAAAAACTCCATGAATTTTCAGGAAAACATATATTGGACTATTGTTCCCGCATCCATTAGGCTCTGCCTTGGCTGCTTTATGAAGGTCTTCATGGGCCTCTTCAAGTTGATTGAGCTTGATTTCAGCTACATCCCTTCTGTAAAAGGCTCTAGTATTGTTACCATCAAGCATAGTGACTAAAGAGCAGAGCTCCTTGGTTTGTTCATCATCACACACCTTTAGGGCGCAAGCTGCAAGCTTTAACTCAAGGGATATGGCGAGATTCCATAGAAAAACACAATTATCTTCATTTCTCAGTAAACCAAAACACAGAAATTTCAACTCTTTGTCATACTTAGCCCCAACAAGAACGACTTCACCTTTTTTGAAGTGAATATTGCCCTCCTCTTTCAAGAACTTTGCTTGATTTAGGATGTTCCGAGGGCAATTATTTGTAGAAAGTTCACAATGCTTTCATCAGAGTCATCGTGTGTGCGTAAGGGCACTAAGTAATTTTTGGCAATCCATTAGATCACAAAGGAGATAGAGCAAGAATAACACAAAAAAAATACAAAACCCTTACTAACAGTAGAAGAATAAGAGTACCCACAAACCGACAATCAAAAAGATTGAGGAAGTAGATTATGGCAATCTATTAATTACCATAACAGAGGAAAAGGTGGACTAAACCTTGCTAAGGAAGTAAAATCAGAATTGCAAGAAGCACTACCCACATACTTAAGAAGTAAAAAGAGGAAAACAAAAGAACGAAGAACAGAGCTTCCACCTTCGAATTCGTCCGCAAAATCAGATGAAGAAACAAGACCCCGAGCCCGAAAGACCGCTGCTACAAGGGGAGAAGAAAAGCGCGGGAGAGAATAGGTCGCTTGGCAAGTCGCCGTTGGGACCATGGTGGCCTGGGGTGGTTTGCCGGCGATCGAGGAGCAAGACAACCCACTCAAATTGCCGGCGGCCCAGTGGGTTCAGCTGCTTGAGGAGGCTGGTATTGAAAAACGGTTATTTCATGAAATGCCACTGAGCAATTGCAAAATTCACCAAATGCCATGAACCTTTTCAAAATTCACCAAATGCCACGGTGAATTTTTTTAAAACTCGGTGGCATTTGGTGAATTTTGAAAAGGTTCATGGTATTTGGTAAATTTTGCAATTGCTCAGTGGCATTTTATGAAATAACCAATTGAAAAACCCGGGGCTAGAATTTGGTTGTTTTGGGGGTTTTGTCAAGTGCGTGTATTGATATTTTCTGTCGATTCTAGTTGTATTAATATCAACATTGGATACTATACCAAGACTTAATCCAACTAAACTAGTTCGCTTAATTGGTTGACATTGATAGACAATGACTAATCAATTGTTACAAACAAATACTCCGTAACATCTCCTTTTAAAATCCTCTTTTATTCAGAACATCTAACTTTTTCGTACTTAGTGCGCGAATATGTGGAGGATAAACATGATTAATAAATCCCAAATAATCCAAAAGAAAATGACTCAATCAAAATCACTAGATGCTTCTTTACCTAGTACTACTAAGAACTAAAAACAATCAATACAAATCTTGAATAATGTTAAAAATAGTACTCCCTCTGTGCTCTAATACAAAACCTCATTTTTTTTACTTTTAATATCAATTTCCAATATTTTTTCTATAATTTTAAAAAATTTAAACTTTCTTAATTCCCGTCCAAAAATCAAAAGAGGTTTTGTATAGGGGACGGAGGGAATAAGAACTATAAACAATTAACACAAATCTTGAACATATTTTGCAAATTAAGAATCAAATTTATCACAAAATAAGCAAGAGAGAAACCTGACGAACGAGGTGAGGAGAAGTGACGAGACATTTAGCGCTCCAAAGAGGATCATTGAGATCGGCGCCGTGACGCTCTAACTCCGTCGCAAGTCCGCCGTCGACGATTGCGAAACCGCCGGAATTTTCCAGAACCTTCGACATGATTGATGACATAGTTGCAGCTAACTAGCTTACTCTTTACTTTTTTTTTTCTCGCTTTCTTTCTTTATTCTTTCTACTTTTTACTACGAGTTGAATATAATAGCGGCGTTTTTAAGTTGCGTAGCTTCTTGAAATGGAAGTATGAAGCGTCAGCTTAGATTTTACACCTGTGAATTTGGTGGGACCACTCTTGTAATCTTGTACATCAGATAATTTGTTTATGATTATGAATGTAATCTTTATTATGGCTTTATGCAAATTCACATGGGCCCATAATCTCCTCAATTTAGTGCGTGGAGGAGTACTACTAGTTTGGCCATGTATGATTTCACAAACATATTTTATTCAAATGCTCAATCATTTCGTTTTGGATAAATTAACGGGAATAATCTCATCTTTTAGCGACTTTCTCAAATTAGTCTCACCTTCTAATTAACTTAATATAATCTTACATTTTCACTCAATCTTCTCAAAATGGACCCTCTTCTAAATTGACCTGCTACAATAGGTTATGGGTTTACGTGACACTTTCAAAAGATAAATAGTAAGTCTTCCTCCACATATGACATAATTTCCTACTCACTTACCTCCCGTCCATGCATCTTATTCAATTCGAGCATCAACTATGAAGCCTAGGATTTTCGAGGGTAGGGGAGCAGTTTCGTGGGTGTTTGGAGGGGTAGGGGAGGGATTTCGTGGGTGTTTCGAGGGGAGAGGGGGGGTTACGGGGATGGGAGTGGTGGTTCAAGGGGGAAGGGGGAGGGGCGACGGGACAAGAAGAGCGGCGGCTGGCCGACGAGAGGAGGGAGTGGGTTTTCCAGTGCAAGAGGCCAAGAGAGGATTGGGGTGGCTGGGGTTCCGATGGGCGGTGGGAGATGGGGCTGAGGGTGGTCAGGGAAGGGGTAGGGCTAGGTTTTCTAAAATAATTTTTTTTTTAAATTTTTTTGGCTAATTAGCTTTTAATACGTGGCATTTAATAAAAAAATAAAAAAGAAATTAATCTTTTCAACTGATAATCGGTAATAAGGATTGATGAAAGTAAATAGTCCCCAAAGTTGGGAAAGTTGGGATTATTAGAAAAAAAAATGAAGTAAAGTAAAGATTATTAATATCAATTTTTCCTAACAAATATTCATAGACGAAGGAGTATTATTGAATTGAGATGAATAATTTGATTAGAATATAGTTACCATTGATAATTGGTTTGGACATGTAATCGTAAATAAATTAGGGTAATACTCCATCCATTTGTTTAAAGTGCCACATTTGTACTTGGTGCACTATTCGTTAAATAACTTTGACTTGAATTTTTGTACTATTATACTACCTCCGTTAATGATTAATTGCAACAAGTGTACTTGTTGCGGAAACCAAGTCAAAACTTTTAGAGAGTGTTTAGGATATTATAAGTGTAATGAGGGGCATGTGATTAGGGGAATAAAAAAGGAGGGAGAATCTGAAAATTATAGTGGGGACCCGGTTTTTTTTTTTAAAAGGAGGAGAGAGAATCTGAATTTATAGGGAGGGTGAAATAAGAGGGGTAAAAATTTCAGCCCCTAAATTTTTACCTCCCTTTTTTCCCACCAAACAATTAACTCTATTTTCAACTCAAAATTTTTCCCTCCAAACATTTCAGTCTGTTTTTTTTTTCCCCAAATTTTTTCCCTCCATTTCAAATCAGCACTCTTGGAAGAGTACTTAAAGACCCTGCCACCAGAATATAACAGCTTATGAAACATCAAATTTTTCCCCCAACTTGACTTTTCCAATCAAGTCAGGGTATTTAACAAACAACCTGCCTTAAATCCACAGTACAAGTAGAAATTTACAATCCAAAAGTCAGAAATCCTCATTACAACAATTGTTTAGCAAATCAGGCTACCATCCTACGCCTAATTAATCCTACGTTAGAAGCAGCATCTTCCTTTGAATTGTTCTGGTTCAGCACAGCAAAGCCCAAAAAAAAAACAGCCACCAACTTCATTACCAGTTCCTAAATCTGTGGAACTCAGGGTCATTAGTTTATCAAGCATGTCAGACAATTTCAATGATGCTTATTTCAGCATTGACCAAATACTCAACGATGAAGGCAACATGGAAGACCAATATGCAAGCAATGAAGGAACTCACAACAATCAACACAGTCAACAACAACAAGAAACAAATGGCAATCCCAGAGCCAAGAAAGAGCTGACTGTATCCCAGAAGAGACAGATTGTTGATGATTTTTTATTACAACATCAGTGTGGGGAAATACCAAGAGGATTTTTAACAAAGCGAGCAATCAAGTTTCAGGTACACAGGTCAACTATTCACAGACTAATCAAAGACATTAAGACACAAATGGCAGTGGGGAATGTGATAGATGTCAGAAGCAAGAAGTTGGGCAAAACTGGACCCAAACCAACAGAATACACAGATGAGTTCCTGCAATCAGCCCCATTGTACAAGAGGGTGACTGAGAGAAGCTATGGAGCAGCTCTCAAAATATCACATGTCACCATCCACAAGTTAAAGAAAAAAGGAAGACTCAGAACACATACAAGCACAAATCGCCCTGCACTGACATCCAACCACAAGATAACAAGACTGAAATGGGTGTTAAGTCATCTACTGCCAGCTGAAGATAATAGGGACCCACAGTTTCTGGATATGCAGCAAGTAGTGCATATTGATGAAAAATGGTTCTACTTGAACCCAGACACCAGGAGGTTCTACCTCCTGCCCAATGAGCCTAACCCATACATGTGCCAACAATCCAAAAGGTTCAAGGTAAAAGCAATGTTTATGGCTGACATTGGGAAGCCAATTTTTGACCCCCAAGGAAATGTCTTGCATGATGGAAAATATGGAATTTTTCCATTTGTGTATGAAACCACAGCAAAGAAAAAAAGCAAAAACAGGGAGGCAGGTGTTGTGGAAACAAAGGCAATACAAAATGTCAACAAAGAGGCAATCAGGGCAATGTTGCTGGAAAAAGTGATTCCTGGCATCAAACAGAAATGGCCATCCCATCTGTCCAAGGACATATGGATTCAATGGGATAATGCAAGACCCCATCAAATTCCCAGGGATGAGGAATTTAATGCAGCTTGTCAGTCAGATGGTTTCAATATCCAATTCATTTACCAGCCAGCTCAGTCCCCTGACCTTAATGTGCTAGATTTGGGGTTGTTTAATGTCATTCAATCCATACAATACCAATCATTTCCTAAGAACTTAATGGAACTCATTGAGAAAGTGAAAGAGGCTTATGACTTGTTTAATCCTATTTCAAACAAGCATTGTTGGATAACATTACAATGTTGCATGGAAGAAATACTCAAACATCTTGGGGGGAATCATTTTACCCCTCCACACAAAGGCAAGAAAAGGCTGGAAAGAATAGGCATGTTGCCAGAAATACTACATGTGGACAGGACTTTGGTTCATCAAGCTGTTGATCACCTCAACAGTATGTTCATAGAAATAGGTCAAGGCAATTACAATGATGAAGGAATGGAAGTTGATGCAGACTGACCACAACAAAGACAAATGAGGAAGGTAACAGTGAGACTGCCACACATAACCAATGAAGATCAAGGAAGCCACTAGGTAGTGTTTATTGGTTTTTATTTTTTAACTTTATTTGTGTTATTGGTTATGTGTATTTTGTTTACATTGAAGGTCAATTAGGTAAGGCAGTCTTGACTAGCTTTTGTTCAACATGTGTAATCTTTTGAAAGACCATATGATATGAAATGTGATGGTATTATGTACAAAAAGCAATGACAGTAGTATTAAACTGTGAAACATAGGCAGAAACAGTATTTTAAATCCATCAGATGGGTGTTGTTTTTCACATAAAGTGCATAATTGGTTACCTCAACAACAACTTCTAGTTAAAGTTGTTGGAGCAATTCCAATGATGCAATTTTTTTTTTTCAAACTGAGTCCCTTCATCACTTGGATTTTTCCTACCTAATAACACTATCAAGGGACTCCTAGATCAGGTAGGACCACACATTTAGGCTACATTGTTCTCTGAATGCACAAAACAGAAGGGACTCAACATCAGGTAACTTATATGCATGCACACATGGTCTGTCAAGTAGGACTCATTTATCACCATTTAAAGTAGGTTACATAGTCATCATCATTCATCAGATCACAAACCCCAAAGCCATTAGTGCCAAATAGGATAACAACCTGAAGGATCCTATCTCACATACACAAGCAACTGGCTACAATAGAGGGACTAATATTGACAACATCATGCAGAGAATACCAACAACAAGACACAACATACCCAAAAGAAGGACCCAACAGAAGCTGATACAATAGAATAATTCCCAAACTCAAGCTAACAGATTGCCAACATTCAGAATTAATCACATTGTGAAAAAAATGTCACAATTACACTGAAGCCAGAATTTAGTAATCATGAGCTCTCAAAATTAGGATCATCATCCACAAATTACTCACAACAACACCCACAATTAACAACATCAAGCCAGAATTAAGTGTTCATCAAGCCAGAAACAGGATAATCATGCACAAATTACTAACAACCACGCCAACCATTAACAACATCATGCCACAATTTAGTAGTAATTAGCCACAAATTACTATCAACAACACCAACAATTAACAACCACGCCAGAATTTAGTAAAACAAATTAGAAAATAGGATACTCATCCACAAATTAGGAACAACCACGCCCATCATTAACAACATCAAGCCACAATTTAGTAGTAACAAGCCACAAATTAGGATAATCATGCACATAGTACTAACAACGACGACCACAATTAACAACCCCCCAGAATTTTATACTCATAAACCAGAAATTAACTAAATCATGCACAAATTACTTCCAATCAGCACGAAATAACAACAAGGGGCTTTTTTTCACAACCAACAACCAATACACAGAATCAACATCATTGAACGAAATACTAGTATAAACTGTAAAGGGTCAGAAAAGAGTTACGCTGCGTGATTAATTAGAAGGAGCGTCATTCACAGCACCATTACCACCATCGCCAACAGGGGACCCAGATCTAGCCCTCTTCTTGCCAGAGACCACTCCAGCAGGCCCAAATCTACCAAGATCTTCTTTGTTTTCCGGGATAAGGGCTACCGAAACACTTTCAGCAATGTCCGTGCTAACCACATCAACAGGACGCTTATTCTTCGAACCCTCATCTTTGTTGGCCAGATCTGCACCCTTAGACCCCTCACCTTCCTCATCAGAGTAGTAAGGCTTAATTTTGGCACCCACACCGTACATACGGCGCATATCCAGGTAGGTGACCCTTCGAGTTCCAATCAACTTCATCTTCCCAGTACGACGCTGGCATTTGTAGGTCGCAATAACGTCGTCATCTGGCTTCTTCTCATTTGGGGAACTCATTTTTTGGGTTTTTCAGAGAAAATACCGGGTAAACCAGATCTGGAGGAATTAGGGTTTGAACGAAGAGAGAGAGAGTGAGGCGAACTAGACAGTCAGAGGGAAATAGCGATTGTGTGGTAAAATAAACAACAGAAGAGCGACAGTGTTGCAATCTGGAATGACTTCCAGATTTAATTCAAAGAACAACCTCATTAATGGAGGTAGGAGGTAGGTGAGGGATCAATTGACTGAGGTGCACAAGAACCAAAGAAAACAATTGAATGACGTGAAATCTGTAATTGATGAGGGTTTGAAGAGCCTTATTAATGGAGGTAGGTGAAAGGACGAACTCAGTGAGGAGAAGATGAAAGGAGGGTGTGATGAATGACTGGGAAGAAAGATCTAGAAGAGGGTTGATTTGGGTGGGAATCATTAGCTTAGATCTTTAGATAATAAGGTTTTTTGATTTTATAAAAAATGAGGTTAGTGTATAATCAGATTTTAATAAGGGTATGATGGTAACTTTACCAATAAAATAGTTACCTATAAAGGAAAAAAAAATTTGTTGCAACTAATAGGTAGCACCTATTTATAGTATTTGTTGCAACTAACCGTTAACGGAGGGAGTATAAATAATAAATGTATCATGTAATATTGAGGTTTGTAGAATCACCACATTATTGTGGAAAAAAGTTGCTAATAAACAAGTTAATATTCTGGTAGAAGAATATGTGCATGCATGTTCTAGAAGCTTCCGAATAAATTAAACAACGTTTTTGCAATCTTGCTCGTGATTTCTCTTGATACATCTACAAGCTTGTTTTATGCAAGTTATTCGAACTTTCTAAAGAACACTTGAAATTTGGAGGAAATGTAAATAACGGTTCATGAAAATTCTACAATGTTAAAGTACTTCAAAATTTAGGTAATTCTAGTCGTTTCTTTCATCCTCCATCATTAGCTACTCGTACAAGCCTATAAATATTGGTGTTGGACATTCAATTCAAGACATGCACACAAGATTTTTTTACAGGTTAGAAGTTTGTTCACTCAACATGCATAAATTGTTTATGCCTCTTTTCTAATGATATTTAAAGTTTATGTTAAGATGAAAAAAAAAAAAAAAAGCATTCCACAAATATTATTCTTGTCTCTTTAGTGAAACATCATCCACACTATGTAATTACATTTGAAAATCTCCATACATATCATGCAACCATAAAATAAAATAAAATAAAAAATCATAAATTATATACATAAACCTCTTTTACAATAAAAAAATTAAGCACATTCCATTGATAAAAGATTGGACAAAATTTGTTAAAATCCTTCATATTCTAAAATTGTCTCCTATATATGTCGAAATAAAAACTTTGGGCGAAGTTTTGACTCATTGCAAAATCTGCACAACCTACAAACATTTTAGCCCGAGACAGAATGGATGGGCACGAGAACCGATTGATCAGACATGAGAGCTACGGGCCACGACTAGGGCCAAAACAAAAGCAACTTTGAACAACTTGATCGTCAGGTATCATCCCACCGCCTTTGGTTGTATCAAAAGCTTCCAATAGCCTCACTACTTCATCCATGTCAGGGCGTTTGTTTGGTTCGCGATCCCAACATTTGCGCATGATACTCACTAATGAAGGTGGACAACACCTTGGTATATCAGGACGCGTACCCTACCAAATAGATAGGAAACTCAACTTAATTAATAAGCAGATTAACATTGAAATTGAATTGTTACGCATAAAACTCGTGAAAGAACACCACCAACCTCTATAACAACCGCAGAAGAGACATCCGCAAAACTCAAATCATGATAAGGCATATCACAACAATAAATCTCCCACAAGCATATTCCAAAACTATATACATCACACTTTCTGTTGTAAGGCTTACCATCAAAAACCTGCAAATAAGTTATTAAAATTAAAATTAATTTTTTCGGTTATTTTCACCAAAATCAATAATTTTAATAAAAACATCATCAAAATTTTAATACGATTGTTACCTCTGGTGCCATATATCCCAGTGTACCAGTTTCTCCAGTCATGTCACGTGGGTTTTGTGCCTCAACTCGAGCAACACCAAAGTCTGCGATTTTCAATGTACCACTAGTATCTAATAGCATATTTTCAGTTTTAACATCACGATGTACAATCTTTCTAGAGTGAAGGTAACTTAATCTGCACATATAAGAAGGTACACAATCTCATCACTTTCTTAAAATAAAAAGTAACAAATAAAGGTACATGTTATACAAAACTTACCCTCTAGAAAGATCTAAAGCGAGTCGAATTACAACTTTGATAGCAAGTTTTCTCTTCCTATTTCTAATCAAATAGTTCTTCAGTGTTCCTCCGGCAAGATACTCAACAATAACACAACATGCCCTAGAAGGAAGAGAGTTGCCCAAATTGCCACTATTGGTAGGAATTAAAAGATTTGAAGTTCCCATTGAAGCTCCAATGAACTACAACATATATTTGATGGTTCAAACCCTCAGCAAATTTATTTAACAAAATATGGATAAGAAACAAAAAAAAAAAAAAAAAAAAATGTATGCCATTACATTTGACAAAAAAAAAAATAATAATAAATAAAATTAGTCAGAGTCATATGTGATTAGACCAAAAGCATAAAAATCAAAAGACATAGCATAAGTTTCTAACAGCTTTAACCTTTGTAACATTGGGATGGTCAAGTTTATGCCAAACAGCAACTTCTTGCCGAAATGAGGACCGAAGAGCCGCAGTTTCAGCCTCTGTGGCCATACCATCTTCCCCCCAATCCAAAACTTTCACTATAATATACCCACAAAAAAAATAAGTGAACCAATCAAACATACCAATAAAGATAATACTACATATAGAATTCATTTCCTTAACTCCCATAAAAATACATTAAGCTAGTAGCCCACTAATACATGCAGCACCAAAAAAAAAATTATTTGAAGTAGAATTAATGGTGGCTATGTGGTATTTGTATTGTTATACATAGTATTAATTAAAAAGTAGGTGTACAAGAATGTAGAGAATACGAAAGGAGGCATATTAAATAAGAATTCAAGCTAATTTAATATGGAATAGCAGAAGTATATGTAGATATGTATATATATATATATATATATATATATATATATATATATATATATATATATAATTCTTATACAGTCAATAGTTCATTGCTGTTAAGCAAATGTTTGGTTTTAGTTGTTCTTTAGTTTTGTTTCACATGCTTACTGAAATGTATTTCCAACTTTCAGGATAGCATAAAAATTTAAGTAGTTTCATTCTTTCATAAGATGGCAGATTAACCAATGAATTTCCTTAAGTCAAGTTTCTTACCAATGTTGATAATCAAATGGTTGCTTTAGGATCAAGCTTCATCCAACACTTCAAAGGTTTAACCGTTTAAGTAAGGAAGCAAGAGTTTGAAGTTCGACAAGAATTATAACGTAACAGTGTTTCTCCAAACATAAGATAATTGAATTTGGCATATAATGTCAGGATAGAAACATGAGCAAAGTTCATAAAAGGAACGGGTGAGCGCAAAATAAGATGCATTAAGACAAAATTACTACTTGTATATAGTTATATACCAATATGCCATGCCCGACAAATTAAATGTCACTACATAAGAACTTGAAACTATATCAGTTAAAGAGATATCTAGTACTTTCATTATCAACCAAAACTATGTCATATGCAAGTAAGTATACATATCACATTAATGAACAATCACAAATCCAGCTTTTGCCACCTCAACCCCGATTACCACATAACCCTATCAGCAAAGAACTATACAAATTACCATAATCTTTAAACTTTTCAACCTACAGAATTTTTTGGGGGGATCATGAGTTCTATATACCGAATTAATGATGCTATAAATATGACAGATAGTCCATTTACATTTTCATTTACAAATATGGATGGCGATCCTCAGCTATTGACAGAGCACACTATAAGCCCAGCACATGGCACTTTGTGCTTACATGCATACCTCAACTAACAATGATACCTCTTTGAATAATGATCAAAGCTTAATGATTAAGTACATCATAAGGTCAAGAAACAATTTCAAAATTAATCAATCTGTAGTAACAGACTAACAGTTAATAGTTAACAAACAAGGTCATCAGATTAATCGTAGACACACATGAAGAGCTCATCGAAACCATGTAGACTTTACGATAGTCCAACATATAGATTAGTCCCCGGTACAGGGGTACAAAATACATCATATGTCACCTATTTCCTTTCCCTGTGATATCGAATTCTATCAAGCCATGCCTGGTGTACAATTTCCAAATACTCACACACAAACTTATGATCATATAAAACTAAATTTGACAAAATAATATTAGATAGTAAATTTATCATGAGATAAAGTGATAAACAGAACATAAAAGTGGGTTTTCATTACCTGCAACATCCCTTCCATCATAAACAGCCTTGTAAACAGAACCATATGTGCCATGGGCAATATTGTGCTTCAAATCGAGTTTTGCCAAGTCAATTTCCCAATCTTCTTTCTTGGTGGCATTAAGATCTCGATCTGTTAGGATATAATTATGTTGTGAGAAATAATTTGTGAATATATTTGTGTATATCTTGTTAGAAGTTTTTGGCATTTTAGGTTAATGATGTAAGCCTATATATATGAGTTTAATGGTAAAGGCTCACCGTTTTCTCCTAAATTTCTTGTGAGTTTAACACCATCTCCAGAAAAAACCCGACTCAAACGTTTCTCCAAATGAATATCCCAATTCTTGAAATCAATCATATCAGCCCTAAACATCATGTTTTTTGTACTCAAATTCCCCGAATCCGTCAAATTCGAAAGAGAACGCTTCTGATCGCCTTTTGCTTGTTCAGCAGGCTTATCAGAAGAATTCTCTGCCACTGGAATGACACTTTCATCCCCTTCATTGCTCTTTGATTCCATTTTATTCTCCCTAAATTAAACTTTTTTCAAATGCAATAAAATCAGACGCAGAAAAAACACAATATAAGCTACCCTGACAAAATTTGACGGCAATTAAGAAATTAACATTGTAAAGGTATAAACTTATCAAAATTATGATGATTTAATACAACACCAAACAAGGTTAAATACTAAAAATCCACCTTTTTTATACTAAAATTAACAAAAATCAAAATTTTCACCTAAAAAAGAATTGAAACACCAAAACATCAAACTCAGAATTAATAACTAAAGCTAAATTTCTAATAACATATCATCAGAAAATGACCTTTTTCCAACCCATAAACATGAGGAAAACGAAATCCCAGAAAAAATTTAAAACCCACAAAAAATAAAAACAGATAACAAACAAAACAAAAAAATCACAAAAAACCAATAGAAAAAACACCAACTAATTAATCAAAAAATAGGGAAAAGGAGAGATACCTGAAAGCAAAACAACTGAATAAATCAGAGACAAAAAGCCAGAAAATTAGCTGATGAACGAGTAATTCTCGAGGGCTTTGTGGATGACAATAAACCTCCCCTAGAATTAATAAATACCAAGGAATTTTGAGAAAATTGTGTAATTTTTGGTGGGTATATATCTAATTATATGGATAAATTAGATGTACTGTACATAAAATAATTACGAGTATATTATAGCCTTATAGAGTTATAGGGGTGACAGGGAGTTGAAACCAATCAGGATATTCGGAGCAGAATATTATAATAGGAAGATTATTATCAGAAGACCAAATCAATGAGGATATTAATTTATCCAAATCTTTGCCGGAGATGATTAAACTTTTTTATAGTGTGACAAATAAATTTAACCCCTTTTAATAGTAGTATGAGCAATATTGAAGGGAGGGAAAAAAAAAAGTATTTTGTGACCCATCATGCCACTAGAGGACACTAAAGTACTTGTAGTTTTAATGTTTTATTTAGTTAAGAAAAAGGTTCATGTAAAATAATGATTAAAAAAATAAAATTAAGAAGAGGTTTAAGATAATTCTTAATCTGTTTTGATATGAGAATTATATGGAATTTTGATTTATCTGTTATTCAAGTATGATAATATTTTTAATGGGTGTCACAATGAATACGAGTAAATGAGTTACACCTTACACTAATAAGTTTGTATTGTGTAAAAATTAAAAAATAGTTGACATCCACAATTCTCAGTTTTTCATGTAACAGTTAGAATCATATTCAGGCTTTAATTTGCTCATCTTGTTTTCATTTATATCAGGTCTAATTAATTCAGATAAAATAAGTTTAGGAAAAATAAGTTTTAATAAAGATTATCCAAATAAGTTTTAAGAATTTCATATAAGTTCAGATAATTTCATATACTACATAACTAAAAATCAGAGGAATAAAACACACCCTTTGTTACCAATAACATAGATAAAAAAAAATTAAAAATAAATCTTACATTATGAAGAAATATTTAAAATATATTTTCTATTAGCAAGTAGCAACAAATTCAATGAGAACAAGAGATGAACCGCATTTTTTTATGAAACGCTGCGGTACTCGTTGGTCCGGTGGACAAGGACATAGATAGGGAGCACTCAACATTTCCCAACAGCAAACGATGTCGATAAAGAAGTTTGCCATATTCAATTAGTTTAGTTTTGTTTTGTTTTGTGGCTGTTCATGCATGCTCTTTGGTTTGTCATACGATGATGTAAGCTACAAAATTAAATGTAGACAGATAATACTTTTATAATCTATCTTTGCAAAATTATCTTATGCAATGGACTATATTCCTTTGCAACTCAAATTTATGAAATAGATACGGAGTAGAAGTATAAAGTACCAATACATTTGGTCAAAGTAACTCGGTAAATGCCTTAATGTGTTGTCATCTTTGTATGGTCATTAGTTTAGGCTTGTCTATTAAAGTACTACGAGTATATGGCCCTATTCTTTTCAGCTTAATTTCAGTTCAGTTCAATTTAATTCAGCTCCAATTAGTTCAATTTAACTTCAATCAGTTCAGTTCAATTCAGTTCTTTTGCTAATTTATTTGTTTTATATGATTTAGCTAATGATATTATTAATGACAATTTAGTTTAGCCATGTCTTTGGGCCGATCTTTTTAAGTTCATCTTTATGTTTAATGATATTGCTAATGGTAATTAAAGGCAAATTTCATACTTTTTAGTATATGTTACAACAACGACGACAATGATAATATTCATTGTTCGAATGGTTATAATTTTTGATACACATTTTTTTTGGTTTGTTTTTGTTTCATTAACAACCAAACTATTACACTAGATTAATTTCATAGGCATTAATTAACATGAAAATAAAAAATTTAGACAAAAAAAAAAAAAACTCTATTAGTGGATTAATTTTGAACTTCATTTTATTTTTCATAATTATTAGTGGATTAATATCATTACTAATCAATAGTTAAAAACCAATCAGTTCAGCTCATTTCATTTGTTTTCTGTAAATCGGAATAAACCCTATGTGATTAGACTCACGATGAGACACTAAGTGTACTCGTATATGAATTATTTTTTGAACGAACATTTCAAATAGCTTTTTTTTTTTTTTTCGTGAAAATTTGGAGTATTAGTAGTGAGTCAGTTTTTGAAATTATATGCTATGTACGTAGTATATTGAATAGGTGAACTCATAGTGAAACAAATTCACTCAATACTTTATTTTTTTATTTACTCTGTATAATTTAGTTGGGATTAATGTTGGAATTTCTTTTCAAATGTATTACTGTTTTACTATATCACCATCTCATTTGCTGCCATGTTTTTAGTACTCGTAGTTTTTATATACTTCGTAGGTCACATACTCACATTCAGAGCATTATTCCTTTGACATCTAAATGTTTAATCGGAGGGTCAATAATACTGACAATAATTTCAAGCATCACTTTGAACAATAGCTACAAGATTGATTATATTCACCGAGTATCATAAATTTATATGATTCTACGAAGAGCATGTAGAAAGTTATCAGTATTTCGCCAAAATAAAAGAGAAATCTATAAGAAAAAACTTTCAACATTACTTTTCGGTTCCCTTTCTCCTTTTCTCGTTAGTTTTAGTTATGTGAAAAAAAACTATGGATGAGCTAGCAGCCTAACAGAGTTGGTTGATTGGTCGTTTAGTACCATGGATATGACAAATCACCATACAATCATGCAAGATATACAACATTAACACAGTGCAAGGCCCTCCTCACCGATAGCTCCTTATCCCGGCAGAGTTTTGGTCATCTGATATAATGATAAATACTCCGTGACCACTTACTACTTTACTACCCTTGATACAAACACTTCACAGTGCAAGGTAGTATGATAATTGATCCTCATCCAAGATAGCTACAAAGGAGGATTTGCATTACACTATTCCTCGCTGTCAGACTCATTCCCTGAGTCTGCATTTGCAGGTTGTGGATTCTTATAGTCACCAATTTCATCACTGTACCGTTTCTTGTCAGCACGAGCTTTTGCTTCATAAGGTTCTTTTTCCTCAGCTGCATCACAAAACAAACCAATTTAGGGTTGTTTTAGATACTCTACTTTACAAGACAGATAGTAATGTGTTTCTATTTATATCATCATACCTGACATCTTCCTCCATTTCTCCCCAAGAACCTTCCCAATGTCTAAGAATGCAATCCCTGGGTTTTCTTTCTTTGTATTCTGCATAAAATACACCCGAAATTAAATTAAAAGATACTTCTCAGGTACTGCAATGGATATTAGAAATACGAAACGACTATCTGCTGCCATCTTTACCTCCCGCTCAGCTTGAGAGAAGAAGATGAAACCAGTTTTTGCCTTTTTGGGGGCATTTGGATCCTTTTTCCTTTTTGTTTTCTTCTTCTTTGATCCGTCTTCATCTCCATCTCTAGATTTCTTCTTGCTTAAAGAAGCTTTAACTGATGCCAAGTCTTTCTTTTCTTTCTTAGCAGGTTTCTGTATCAAATCATTCATATTACTTAAAGAATTGAATTGGCAAAAATAAAGTTGATATATATCTAGCAAAGACAATGTCTTGGTCAGCTACTTACCTCTTTTTCATCACCACTAACACTAGCATCCGATTGATCTTCTCCAGAGTCATCAGTAGGAGACCCTCCATCATCCTTGTCTAAAACAAAATCTTCATCCTGTAAAGAGGTCACAACTATATGTTCAAACCTTTCCCAGCAAACATAGGTACAACAGAAAGCTATAAACATTCCCCATAGCTGCTTCCTCACAGGAAGAAAGAAATAAAAGAAACAAGAGAAGATATCAACTGGTCCAATTCATAACGCTTAAGGAAACAGGAATGGTCTAATACCTCTTCATCACTCTCATCTTGTGCATCCCTAATTCTCTTCATATGAGGATCTTCATCATCACTGCTAAGAGGTGCAATGGAGAGTGAAGGTTGATTAGCACCATCTCCCACGTTCATGATTTTCAAGCCCTTGTTGCTGCAAGTAACCATATAAGCGTGTCAAATTAAAATCAGGTGTTACTATCAGTTATAAATCAAATGCTGGAACTTGGAAGCTTGTTAAGACCTGATGAAATCAAACAAGTTTTGGTATTCACTCCTCTGGATATTCCGAAAGAGATGCTCCTGATCTGTCTTCAGTTTTACAAGGAGATCAAAATAATGCATGTTGGATCCTGCAACAACGTGCCTTTGGAACTCCATATAATCGATCTGTTATATAAGGAATCAATATTTGTTAGAGGTTTATAGAGCCAGTAATTAAACACACATGATGCTAAATACAATGTTGCACACATATAAAGATATCACCTCCTCATGAAGAATAAGGGTTGGAGGCTTGGGTAAGAAGAAGAAGCTCTTTTCAAGTGGGTACAGAATTCCGTCTTCAGCTTTAAGTGATGACTTGACAGCATAACCATCTTGGCAGCTACGGAATTTTCCAGGCCTAGTGACTTTGGCGCTAGATAAGGCACGCATTATGTTTGTAAACACATCATGAATGAGACCCTGAATTATGGGAAACCAACAACAAATTCTATATCACTGAATGAAAACCAAAAGGAATGCAAATGAGAATGGCAAATAAAATTCAAAGTATTTTCATTACGTAAATTCTCTAAGCATTACCTTGTATGAAGGTTCCAACTTATCCTTGTATTTGGTGTTCAAGAGATCTTCATTTATGGAGAGAGTACTTTCAACGACATAGTCAGTTTCAAACTGAAAAAGGTAGAAGCAAATAGATCATACATCAATTAAGGAAAGACCTGAAATTGTCCAGAAAATGGAACCACAAATACCTGCATCACAATATGAGGGTAAAGCGTTTGCCCTTTACGAATTGGAGGATCAAGAGTGATAACTACAAATGTATGCGGTTGGTTTGACTGCAACAACATAACAGAAGATGAATGAGCATAGCAATAGAAAAAAAATTGCAAAAAAAGTATATAATTACCAATCAGAAAAAGACAACAAAAGTTTTATAAGTAAAGAACCTTAGGAAGACAGAAAAGTCGAACAACACTGCTATACTGGATTTTAAAATCATTAGCTTGTCCTTGAAGACGTAAAAATGTAAGATGCAGTTCAACGCTATACCGACCCCTAGAATAAAGGAGAGTCAAACAGTCAGTAGGAATTCATGTTCATCTTAAAGGATAGAAAAAAGACAAACAATCCAACAATTGGCATATTCTCTAGAGAGAAAAAGTAGACTGGGTTGCACAAACCTTGGAGTAAGGATAGCAATACCATCGAATGTGACAACAGCCTCTTCTGCATCAACATCAGCCATAGACAT